GGGTTTTTTTTTGTAGTTTTTAGTAGAGACGGGGTTTCACCATGTTAGCCAGGATGGTCTTGATTTCCTGACCTCGTGATCCGCCCGTCTCGGCCTCCCAAAGTGCTGGGATTACAGGCTTGAGCCACCGCGCCCGGCCACAAGTTCATTTTCAATTGCCCATTAGAAATGAATCTGCTGGCCTGGTGCAGTGGCTCATGCCTGTAATCCCAGCATTTTGGGAGGCCAAGGTGGGCGAACTGCCTGAGGTCAGGAATTCAAGACTAGCCTGGCTAACATGGTGAAACCCTATCTCTACTAAAAATACAAAAATTAGCTGGACATGGAGGTGGGCGCCTGTAATCACAGCTACTCTGGCACGAGAATCACTTGAACCTGGGAGGTGGCGCAGTTGCAGTGAGCCCGAGATCGTGCCACTGCACTCCAGCCTGGGCAACAGAGCAAGACTCCGTCTCAAGAAAAAAAAAAAAGAAATGAATCTGCTTTAGCCACTTTGATTGCTTTTTCTGTTTGTGTTCCTCAAAACAAAATAACAGTGTTTTGTTGTTGTTATTGTTTTGGACTAAGGGTACTGTTAGCTTGTTCGCCACAAAGATTATGATGAGAATTAATTGGGATAACATAACATAACATACTTACCAGAGTATAAGGCAGGGTCAGTATTGTAAAAATTTATAAAAATCACTCATTAATGTTTTCTTAATTGCTTTATTTTGAATAATGTAGTATATGCACACTTTTAGATGTTTTTTAAAAACTCGTGAAAATCTAACAGGTATCTTGATATTTGCATTCCTTAATAAACTTGATTTTTGTTTATTAGAGTTAAAGTTGTTAATACCTGAGATTAGTGAAACAGGCCCTAGTTTCCATTTATAATTGATTTCAACGGTGTAAATTTGGATAATTTACCTTTATTATCGGAATTTGAACTTTTTTATTCTTGAGATAAAGATTTTTAAAGAAACACAGTAACTCAAAGTCATAAAAAGGATACTGATACTAAAGATACATGTGAAGGATTTGAAGGAAATTGTTTCATGAAATGTGAACATGGGAAGAAAGGGCAGTATGTCCATTAAATAAATTTTTAAAATAATGTGATGTCAGATATGTGTATGGAACTAAGTCATAAATTAAATGTTATCAGTAGGCATTTAACTCTTTGACTATTTCATTGACAACTGTAGAAGTTGACATAAATTGGCTAAAAAGTTGTTATAAATTTTCTCATGGAGAAACTAGGTTATTGACTTATACTTGAATATATATTACACATATTTCTTTGAAAGTCATTCAAAATGGAGGCTGGACGTGGTGGCTCATGCCTGTAATCCCAGCAGTTTGGGAGTTCAGGGCAGGCGGGTCGCTTGAGGTCAGGAGTTGGTCACCATGGTGGTCAGCCTGGCCAACATAGTGAAACCCCATCTCTACTAAAAATGCAAAAATTAACTGGTGTGGTGGTTCATGCTGGTAGTCCCAGCTACTTGGGAGGCGGGAGCAGGAGGATCGCTTGAATCCCGATGGCAGAGGTTGCAGTGAGCCAAGATCAAGCCACTGCACTCCAGCCTGGGCAACAGAGTGAGATTCTGTCTCAAAAAAACAACAACAGAAAAAACAGGGCTGGGTGTGATGGCTCACGCCTGTAATCTCAGCACTTCGAGAGTCTGAGGAGGGTGGATCATGAGGTCAGGAGATCGAGACCATCCTGGCTAACACAGTGAAACCCTGTCTCCACTAAAAACACAAAAAATTAGCTGGGCGTGGTGGCAGGCGCCTGTATTCCCAGCTACTTGGGAAACTGAGGCAGGAGAATTGCTTGAACCCGGGAGGTGGAGCTTGCAGTGAGCCGAGATCACACCACTGCACTCCAGCCTGGGTGACTGAGCAACACTCTGTCTCAAAGAAAAAAAAAAGACAAAGCTCACAAGCCTTATCCTTACTTTATGGTTTTTGATGATTGTGATAATTGCTGAGAAACATCTTAAATCCCCATGGTGTACACTAGAGTACTTTTATTGAAAGTCTTGACATTTATATATTATCTGGCCAATTACAGTGAGGGAATTTTGAAAGTTTGGTTTTGGGTTTTAGGTAAACTGAAGGAACTTAATGGAACTGCACCTGAAGAGAAGAAGTTAACTGAGGATGACTTGATACTACTTGAGAAGATACTGTCTCTAATATGTAACAGTTCTTCAGAAAAACCCACAGTCCAGCAACTTCAGATTTTGTGGAAAGCTATTAACTGGCCTGAAGGTAAATAAACACTCTTCAAAAATATAACCAGAAAGCAAGAAATTTTATCTTCATTTCTATCAATATTACTGGTATTTGTAGATTAAATAAAAGTTAACTTGGGTAGTTCTAGTTCACTATGGAAAATCTTCACGAAAAGGGTTCACTACACTACTGGAATTGATAATCTTGTTTTCGTTACATGCCCTATGAGAATCTGAAGGTAATATAATGATCCCCATATATGCACCAGTTTGTTTACTGTTTGAGAGCATTTGTGGATTCCCTGCCAGGCATCCAAGATACTCTTAGTGACCTGTTAACCCTAGGCTATAAACATGCACTATAAGTTTGGTGGTTTTTTTTCCCAATTATGTCAGTTAAATCTTTTTTGATTCCCAAAGAGTTCTTGCCCGTTTTTTGTTTTTGTTTTTGTTTTTTTCATGCCATTGATTTATTGCAGAAAAAGCCTTTTTTTTTTTTTTCAATAAAATGTCCCATATTATGGATTTTGCTGATGTGTTCCTCCATCTCTGTATTTATTGCTAGTGGCAAAATTAGATTCTGGTTCAGTAGGAGTTTTTTTTAGGTAAAATTCTTTATAAATGATGATGCATACTACTTTTATATTATGGAGCACATAATCTTGGATTTTCTCACCTTTGGTGATGCTAAGATTACTTTGTGCATTCATTCAGATGGCATCTACCCAAGTCCTTGATTGTAAAGCTCCCACCAACCTATAAGCATCCTATCACTTGTTAACTGGAATTCTTAAGAACTTTCTGGCTGGGCTCGGTGGCCCACGCCTGTAATCCCAGCACTTTGGGAGGCCAAGGTGGGTGGATTACCTGAGGTCAGGAGTTTGAGACCAACCTGACCAATATGATGAAACCTCGTCTCTACTAAAAATACAAAAATTAGCCAGATGTGGCGACATGCACCTGTAATCCCAGCTACTTGGGAGGCTGAGACAGGAGAATTGCTTGAACCCGGGAGGTGGAGGTTGCAGCAAGCCAAGATCACGCCATTGCAATCCAGCCTGGGCAACAGGAGTGAAACTCTGTCTCAAAAAAAAAAGAATTTCCCGTTTAATTGTTCGGTCTTCAGAAGTTTTAGAAGCAAGGTCTGTGCCCTGTTCTTTCCATTCATTTTTGAATACTCACAGTGTGTAGGCTATTTGATAACCTGAGAGAGTTACCTTATTTTAAAGTGAATATGATCTTACAATAATTAATCTAGTTTATATAAAATTATGGAAAATTAACAAAAGTTTCAGAAATATGTGCATTTTTTAAAAGCTGACACATGATTTTTCACATTTTCTAAAATGGTTAATTTTGTAGTGGGAACATAAAATCCTTAAAAGTTGATAGTCAAAAGAAATTTTCTTTATTTTCATAAGCATTAATGACTTTTTTTTTTAATAGATATTGTCTTTCCTGCACTTGACATTCTTCGGTTGTCAATTAAACACCCCAGTGTGAATGAGAACTTCTGCAATGAAAAGGAAGGGACTCAGTTCAGCAGTCATCTTATCAATCTTCTGAACCCTAAAGGAAAGCCAGCAAACCAGCTGCTTGCTCTCAGGACTTTTTGCAATTGTTTTATTGGCCAGGCAGGACAAAAACTCATGATGTCCCAGAGGGAATCACTGATGTCCCATGCGATAGAACTGAAATCAGGGAGCAATAAGAACATTCACATTGCTCTGGCTACATTGGCCCTGAACTATTCTGTTTGTTTTCATAAAGACCATAACATTGAAGGGAAAGCTCAATGTTTGTCACTAATTAGCACAATCTTGGAAGTAGTACAAGACTTAGAAGCCACTTTTAGACTTCTTGTGGCTCTTGGAACACTTATCAGTGATGATTCAAATGCTGTACAATTAGCCAAGTCTTTAGGTGTTGATTCTCAAATAAAAAAGTATTCCTCAGTATCAGAACCAGCTAAAGTAAGTGAATGCTGTAGATTTATCCTAAATTTGCTGTAGCAGTGGGGAAGGGGGACGGATATTTTTAATTGATTAGTGTTTTTTTCCTCACATTTGACATGACTGATAACAGATGATTAAAAAAGAGAATACTGTGGATTAAGTAAAATTTTACATCTTGTAAAGTGGTGGGGAGGGGAAACAAAGAAATAAAATTTTTGCACTGCTGAACTGTGAGATTTTCCTGTGTAATTTGGGTAGGTTTTCAAGAGTATGAAAACAAATTTAAAAAGAGCTATAATCAGCAACAACACAATGACAGTGACATCTTCCCCTTACCTTAGCCACTAAGGAGAAGATAAGGGCTGTTACTCATATAATTTGCTTTTATTATGTACACCAAACTGTTAATTGTTGTCAATTATCTTTTATTTAACTTCTCCATCTTCATTGCTAGGTTTTTCAAACAGCACAGATACATTTCAAGGTCTTGTTTTAGGGTAACTATTTTTAAAATTTTTAAATTATATTTATAAAATAATTTATAAATTATTCATATATTAAAACAATATAAGATAATTTCTTGATTTGTCAGTTATAAATCCTAAAATATATTTGTTAAATGGCTTATTTTTAGATGAAGAAAAAGCCAGTTGGTAAACTATGTTAGTCATCTATCAGTTCAGACAGACGAGGTCTCAATTTAACTCCAGGCTTAGATCCAGTTTCTTTTGCCCTTCACTGTTTGAGGTAACTTCATTTTTCATTCTAGTTCTGATATTTGACTATTTATTTTTGTCATTTTCCATTATTTCAAAGGGAGTTTGGAACATGTTGAATTTTATCAAGTGATTACATAAGCAAGAGTACGTCAAACTGTGTTATTTGAAAGTCTAGAACCTGTCATGTGAAATTACTATTTTTGAGCCCTCTATGTTGTCCAGGCAGTATAGTAGACACACTGATATTTAATCCTTAAAACCCTTTTAAATGAGGGCGAGTATTATCCCTGCTTTCAGAAGTAGACATAATAGGATGAATCATGTAAGAGAGAAAAAAAAAGTGAAGCCAAGAGGGAGTTAACTACTCAAAGTACATGCCATGCTATACTTTCTAGAGAGGAGGTCACAGATGTGTGTGAACATCCTAGCAATTAACACAAAGAAGAAACCATCACATTAATTACACAATTTATTGTGTCTGAGGTAACCCAATTTCCTGAGAGAGGCATAACTATTCTATTTTCAAAAGTGGGAAAGATCTTTTCATAAAGAAGACATTGCCAAATACAGTGAGCAACATTCTCAATATTCATGGTATAAAGAACCATGAATTTCCTGGCTTAATGCCAAATTACAGCCTTAGAAGAATAATTCTTCCCCAAATGGGCAAGAAAAGGTTCTAATTGTCTAGAATAATCTAAGTAAAAACTTCTGGAATATCAAAAGGAAATGAGTAAAATGTAAATAGAAGGGGATATGTACTTTGCTGAGTATTAAATTGCAACTTCCTGGTGTGTACCTGGACTTTAAATATTCTGTTCACTGGCTCAGTTACATAACCTATACTTTTCTTTTTATTGATTGGGTTTAGGTGGTTATGTCAAAGTTAAGTGGCAAAATTAGGAATTTAACCCAAGTCTGACTGGTTCCTTTACAATACACTGCTTTCTTGTTAATAAGTCCAGTCTAGCATTCAGTTAATAAGTACAAATAATTTATTTGCAATATTTAGGAAAAGTAGGTACTTTTGAATAATGATAAGAAATAGTCTCGGTTAAGATTATGAGTTCCCTTTTCAAAATGTAAGGAGCGGCAGAATGTAAACGCTGCTTCCTATTACTGTGCAAGTTTTTTTATATCAACTTTTATTTTACTATTTAATGTTTGTTGTGGAGATTACAAAATATAGCTTAGCAAAAGGAAGCAATCTCACTTCAAGGATATGTTAAATAATATGATATTTTCTTTTTTAGTTAAACTTTCCTATGATTCTATTAATGTTTTTTCTGAATACAAAAGTAATAAACATTTACTGAGTAAAACATACACACACACACCCCAAATAAAAATTGCCTGTAAGGCCACTATCTAGAGAAAACTATTCGTAACATCTTGTGGCATAGTGACTATGTATGTAAATGTGTTTTATTTTATTAAAAAAGCATTGTATCATACATACTCTTTGATAACCTGATTTTTAAACTTATATTTGGTACCAAGAGCTCCACATTAATAAATATAATATTCTATCATATGGATAATACCCATTTCTTACTAACTGGCACTGTTTCCAATTTTCAGCTATCAAGCAAAGATACGACAAATCTCACAAGAGTCTTACTAGTTCCCTAAGAATATTTTAATACGTGGAATCGGTAGATCAAGATAGTGTACATTTTTTAGACTATTTACATTGCCATCTCACCTCTAGTGGTACAACTCTTGGAATTAATGTACTTCATATTGCATTTGAAACCCCATTGCCTACAAAAGAGTTAAGTTATTATTGTCTCCATTTCATAACTATTACCTTCTTTCTGGCATTAGGTTCCTTTAGATGAGTATGTTACTATTTATATGACTAGCTGAATTTATAACTAAATAGCAATGCTATGAAATTTATTATCTACCTCATAATCTTCTTAAGTGATGGAAGAAGCATAGGTAAAAATGGATTCTTTACAGAGATAATTCTGAGGATAAGAGTGGGAGGTAGGTTCCTTAGCAGTTACCACTTTGTATATTATGGTTATTTTATTAGGAAATGATAAAATGCATAAAAGACCATTTGTGATATATCATCCTTCCTGAAAGTCTTAGATAAATTCCAGACTTTTAAAGTGTTATTCAATCTATTTTTTAAAAACTATTCTAATCGCTAATGCATTATTTTCTGTAGAAATTATATGCAGTATAGTTGTGATTATAAATAGTTTTGAAGACTTTAATAGCATTTTTTCATGAGTTTTCCTTCAATTTTTTAATAAAAATATTCATACATAAAAATTTAAAGAGGCTGGGTGCAGTGGCTCACACTTGTAATCCCAGCATTTTGGGAGGCCGAGGTGGAAGCATCGTTTGAACCCAGAGTTCAAGACCACCCTGGGCAACAGAGCGAGATCGCATCTCTACAAAAAAATTAAAAATTAGCCAGACATGATGTTGCATGTCTGTAATCCCAGCTACTCAGAAGGCTGAGGTGGGAGGATCACTTGAGCCTGGGAGGTCAGGGTTTCAGTGAGCCATGATAGTGCCACTGCATTGCAGCCTGGGTGTTGACAGAGCAAGACTTTGTTTCTCAAAACAAACCAAAAAATTGAAAGAAAAGTACAGTGAACATTCATGGACTTGTTAACTAGATTCCACAGTTATTAACATTTTGCCAGATTTGCTTCATCTCCATAGTTTATACTTTCTTTTGAAATTACTTAAATGCTTATCAACTGGATACTTCATTATGCATCTTATAAGAATTAGGGCATTCTTAACAATTTGTCACCGATAATATCACACTTAAGGAAATTAGTAATTTCATAATATCTAATATCTAATCCATATTTCAAATTTCCTCATTGCTCTAAGAATGCCTTTTATAACTTCTGCTTTAAAAAGATCTAAATTCAAGGTTTGTATATTGTATCTATTAATAGTTATTTAGTTATATGCTTCTTTGACTTCTTAATCTAGAATAGTCTTTCATATTTTAAAACTATCATTGACTTTTTGAAATTTTTAGGGCACTCCAGCATGTGAAGCACCTCACATTTTGTGTTTGTAAAATATTTTTCTACAAGACTTTGATATTGGTTATCTATTGCTGCTTAATAAATTACTCCAAAACTTGGTGGGTTAAAATAGCACACATTATCTCAAATGTCCTGTGGTTCAGGAATCCTAACACAGCTTAGGTGGATACTCTTGAGGCTGTAAAGTATCAGCCAAAGCTGGTGTCTCATCAAAAGGCTCCACTGAGGAAAGTTTCATTTTCAAGCTCATATCGTTGGTGTTTAGTTCTTTTGGGGTTGGACTGAGGACCTCAATTCCTAGGTAGCTGTTGGCCAGAGACTGCCCTCTCTGATTTTTGCTATATGGGCCTCCCCAGTGTGGCAAGTTGCTTCATCAAAGCCAACAAGGGGGAGTCTGCTGGCAGGACCAAAGTTGGAATCTTTATAATCTAATCACAGAAGTGACATCTCAACATCAAGGTATTGTATTGGTTGGAAGTTAATCAAGGGGAATGGATTATGCAAGGCAGTGAATACCATTAGGGGAGGGATCACTGGGGGCTATCTTGGAGTCGGCCTGCACCACTTATTTCCTACAAATTGAAAGTCGTTTCCATTGAGATTAAAACTGTTTGTAGGAATACTTTACAGGTGATATGTACTTGTTATTTTGACTTGATTATATCATATTTGAGCTTCCTTAAGGGGTAAAATAGTCTTTAGAATAAGGTGGGTAATGGAAGCTGTAAACAGGAGAAAGTTGCCTAAAGCCCTTTTGTAAAGTAGATAGTCTGATGTTGGTCCTAGGCTTAAAATGAGATGTTGGGGCTTAAAACCTGACCTTGGAATTCCTGGACATGTGATAACTCAGAAAAATAAAATGTTCAAATGGCTGTGATCATCAGATTTCAAGGTATATAGCAACATTTACCACAACAGTTTGCAACGATTTAAACCAAGTAACAATGCAAAAAACAACTAGACAGCCTGCATTAATCACTTATTCTTTTCTAGTTGTATATGCATAGTTTATCCTCATTATGAGGTAGGTATTACACAGGTGAAGAAACTGAAAGAAGTCAAATCTGTATAAGTCAGTAGTAACTAAACAATGGAGAAGATAGCAGTATTTAATCAATGATGTTGCCAAAACTGGATATCAATATGAAGAAAAATATCAATTTGTAGTAGCCTCTTTATCAAAATAGCAACTACAGTGGCTACTAGTGCCATATAAGCATGACATGGATCAAAAGAAAGTGGTTTTAAGCCATTGAATGACATTTTTTTCCTTCCTGTGTCCTCAAAGGAACTAATACATTCAATAAATGTTCACTTATTTCTGTATTATTTAAAATTTTCAGTAGTAATAGCAATCAAAGGTGCAGTATAAAATAGTGAAGGAGCACTGACTTTGGCGTTCAGAAGTCATACATTCCAATAGCATTTCCACCACTTAGTAATGAATTAAGGCAAGTTGCTTAACCTTAGCCTTAGTTTAGTC